TTTGGCATGTGCAACGCAACAAGTGATTCCATAAATAAGTACCCCAGAACCATATCCAAATGCACCTTGCCTATAAAAGCTGATGAACCACCTAGTTTTGATATACCAACGGCCACATTAGCAGGAGCACCACCAGGAGCCTTCTTGAAAGTAGGTGCTTCAGCCAGTGAAACCCCACCAACTGTTGGTACAAAGTCAATCAACATTTCCCCGAAACAAACAACTAGCGAGTCCTTCGCTCCTTCTTTCATATTCAATGCATGATTATTAGAATCACCTACAGATTTTCAATTGCTTGATATCAGTACAATCTGCACATCAATAACTACAAAATCACTCAGCAAATTGGAGTCAATAAAAAAACCATGCCTCCCTTTGTCATTCCCAAGACCAAAAAAAATCTCTTTAAATCAGATTCAGATTGAAAAACAATTCAACTAACTGTGAATTAACACAAATTTTCAATCTTGATTAGATCACAGATCAATAGTCATTGATAAATTCACAAAATCAATCCTATCTTTTTCAGCGTTGGTCCGCGTAAAGCACTATAAGCTAGTATACAGTAACTTCATTGTACAAGATAAGAAAAACTTTCTACAGGACTCAAACAGAGACAACAACCCAAAGAGGAATAAAGAAAGATCTATGAAAGAAAAAACAAGAAACCCAAGATCAAGAATCACACGCACAAAATAAAAGGAGAAAAACACAAAACCAGCTCAATCCCAATAAGAAATCATTGAAAAGAACATCAAAACAAAGAAACAACAAGCATAGCATTGATCAATCAAGAAAGCAACAACTTAAAAGAAATGAAACAAAAGAGAATTACATGGGACATAATCCTCAGCCATTTTACAAGCGTTAAAAGCAAGAATCAAGAGAGAGGAGGAAGAGGAGGAAGTGTGGTGCAGTGTGGGTGTCTTATAAAGAAGAGGATAAGAGGAGTTATGGAAGGAGGAGATGACGGAGCTTGCTTTGTTGGAGACCTTACACTATCCTGAGGGATCGTTCCAAGTGATATGTTTACAAAGAGAGCTACAAACTAATTATTTATTCCTTTCTTTCTTTTTTTCTTTTTTGTTTTTGCCTTTTAATTATCACTTTCCTCGTATTCTATTTTATCTTCCTTTCTTTTTGTCTTATTCTTAGATGCTAACATTATTGTTTAATTTTTGTTTTAATAAATAATAAATCAGTCCCTCTAGTTTAAGAAAATAAATTAAATAGTCCTTCTAGCTTTAAAAATAATTAATCATAACATTTTATTGTTAATTATAATTGGAAAGTGATATATGTTTTTATTTATTTATTTGGATCTTTGCATATTTTAAATATCATCATTTTAAATTTAATGATTTGAATTTGGATTAATTGCTGGTATTTTATGATACAATTTACTGTTGTCATGTTATGTTTTTAAATGATACATTAAATTATGTCAATTTGAATTTAATGATTTTAAAAATATAATGTGGCATGGCATATATATAACTATGAGAGCATGATGATTAAGATATGATGTTTTTCTTTTATTTAAGGAAATATTTGAAAATGCATTAGTAATTTTTTTTAAGTATTTTTTACTCTAAAATATATTAAAATAATATTTTTATTATTTAAAAAAATATTATTGATACCAACACATCAAAACGATCCAGAAATATATATATAAAAAAATTAATAAAAAAATTTATTAGTAATGCAATTGTAAACTACCTAATACTTAAATATCTAGTGGAACATGTCCTTGTTACCCCATTGAATTGTAAAATTCAATTATTCATCCATACTTAAATAAACTATATTCAAGCTTATCATTTTAAATTTAATGATTTGAATTTGGATTAATTGCTGGTATTTTATGATACAATTTACTGTTGTCATGTTATGTTTTTAAATGATACATTAAATTATGTCAATTTGAATTTAATGATTTTAAAAATATAATGTGGCATGGCATATATATAACTATGAGAGCATGATGATTAAGATATGATGTTTTTCTTTTATTTAAGGAAATATTTGAAAATGCATTAGTAATTTTTTTTAAGTATTTTTTACTCTAAAATATATTAAAATAATATTTTTATTATTTAAAAAAATATTATTGATACCAACACATCAAAACGATCCAGAAATATATATATAAAAAAATTAATAAAAAAAATTATTAGTAATGCAATTGTAAACTACCTAAGACTTAAATATCTAGTGGAACATAAAATTCAATTATTCACCCATACTTAAATAAACTATATTCAAGCTTATTAGACTTAGCATTGATTGATCAAACTAAGATATTAATTGAGAGTCATCGGATCATTAGATTATTGTATTGAATTGTTGACTAAAAATATTATAAGAAGTTAAAATTAATTCAAACCTTTTTATTATATTCAATCAGGTTTTAAATGAATTATAATCAAGTTTAATCGGGTTAATATTTCAAATAATTATTATAAAAAAAAAAAAACCTAATCCAAATCTACATTCCAGGTAAGGGGTTGGTAAGGAATATTATTGAATATGCATGCATGTTTTGATGACGTGGCAACCTTGATGACCAAAGCGGTGAAGAAAGAAAGTGAATCTTGGCAGCACAGCCCGAAGATGCATTTTGCAAATTCATAAACTAAAGAAAACAAACATTTTTGTCTTTTGACCTCCGCCAATGGTTCACAGAAAAATCCGGCCGGCCACAAACAGTTTTTTAAAGAGGGATTTTACAGTATTCAGGAGATAATTATTTATACTATTTTTTAAAAAATAAAAATAAAAATAAAAGAGAAACAAGAAGAAAAAAAAATCGGCTTATAGATATTTTTGATTCACCATCTATCCATGAGCCTAAGAAATAACTACTCATAATTATTCTCCCAGCTCCATGAATTTTTATTTTATTTCTAACCAGAATTTGCTTTCAAGAAATTGAGATTAAGATTAATGTTAATCACCAAGTAATGATTATTCTTGGCATTTTATTCCAATTTACACATATTATAGGCTTAATTGATTTTCCTACTATGAATTAGATTAGGGATCAAAATTCATTTATGCCATCAAAACATGGAGATTATAGGGAGTTTCTACCAGTAATCATGCATCAATTTGTCCTTAGGATAATGGGATATCTACTGAAATTGGGATTCTCAGTAACATGAGACAACCCTCTACCAATTGGACAAAATTTGTCGATGTCGATGTCGATGTCGTTCTAGTATTGGAAGGTCCGAGGAGGGTGACTGTTTTTGCAAGAAGGACATGGATGCATGAAATTTGTTTTTGGGTATGCTGTAAAGAAGACATGAATTTTTTTATTTAATTTTTTTATTTTTTTAATTTTATTCTCATAAAATTTTAATAACCATTAAGTTACTTTTGAATAGAAAAAATTACTTGCATCACGATATCAACTTCAACTTCTGTATTATTTAATTTTAAATTTAAATAAAATAAATAATAAGATTATAAGATTTTTGATTTGCTAATATTTTTTATTTTATTCTCAAAATTTTTTACTGATCGTTCAAATTATATTTACACGAGCCAAATTGATTAGTTCATGTTAAAGAGGCTTCATAATATTTAATTTTAAATTCAGAATAGGAAAAAAATTAGATCAAAAAATTTTGTTTAGTAAATTTAATTATTTTTTTCATTTTCATCCTCATAAATTTTTTTACTAGTTAAGCGAGTTGTCTTTGGATCGAATCTTGTTGCGGCAATTCTAACTCGTATGATTTAATTTTAAATTTAAGCAAAATAAAAAATTAGATCAAAAAATTTTAATAACCATTAAGTTACTTTTGAATAGAAAAAATTACTTGCATCACAATATCAACTTCTGTATTATTTAATTTTAATTTTAAATAAAATAAATAATAAGATTATAAGATTTTTTATTTGTTAATATTTTTTATTTTATTCTCAAATTTTTTTACTGATCGTTCAAATTGTATTTACACGAGCCAAATTAATTAGATCATGTTAAGGAGACTTCATAATATTTAATTTTAAATTCAAAATAGAAAAACAATTAGATAAAAAAGTTTTGTTTAGTAAATTTCATTATTTTTTATATTTTCATCCTCGTAAATTTTTTTACTAGTTAAGCGAGTTGTCTTTGGATCGAATCTTGTTGTGGCAATTCTAGCTCGTATGATTTAATTTTAAATTTAAATAAAATAAAAAATCAGATTAAAAAAATTTAAAATTAACTTATTACACTAGATTAAAAAAATAATATCAAATTATTCTATACAGCTTAGATACTATTTATCAGGTTTCATAAAAAATTGGATCCAATTAACCCACAACATAATGTTGTCCTGTAAACTAATAAAAGCTACACCTACAGTCACAATCTGTTATTAAAACCAGACCATACTAATCGGTTCAATTGATGAATTGATAAAGTAGGGACTCAACTGATTCGGTTCTAATAAAAGACCAACTATGTAATCGAACCCATTAAACCAGGTGGGTACCGGTTGGTTTTTCATAGAATCGGTGGCCTGAATTGGAGTAACCGTCGAGTTTAAGAGCTTCCTACAAACTCAATCTCAATCAATTCGCAACTGTAATGAATGGCAGCCCGAACCCCAGCAGTTGCAGCCTCGCTTTCTTCGTCCTCCGTCCATCAATTTTTGCCGCAGCTGGGATCAAAGGATTGCTTGAACCTCGAAGAAATTCTTGTTTTCCAGTTGGACCAGTCCTGCCTAGTCCTTTCTTTTGTTTTTTCCCCTTCAGCCCAGCCTCTCTTTCTATACATTATATTCATTAGAAACTAATATATTAATACCTCATCTAATAACTTAATTAAACTCTTAAACATAAATAGTTTTTTTATATGATATTGGAAATTTTTAAATCGATGAAGATGTAATTTTCTACAGGGACTTGGTCCCAAGTTTGGCTACATACTTTTCCAGAGGACATGCATGCTTTTACAGAGCTTTATTAATAACATTTAAATCAAGCAGTACAGATAGCCAAATCTCAAACAGTTCCAAATCATGCTTTAATTAGAATAAATACTGCAATGTCATTAATTACTTGAGCTAATTAAAAACGTTCATGTTCATCAAATTAACATCAACAATTTTGGAACACATCTTGGAACCCATTAATATCTCATCATACACACACTTGTAAATGCATGTTGAAGGACTTAAAATACTTCACGAGAGCCATCCTGGAGTAGGGTTGCTCTTTCCTGGAATGTTAGTCCTGGCATCAAAGGCTTGTTCTTGGTAAACAAATTGATGGTGCCTGTTTGACAAGAAACATTTTTTGTGCAAAAAAAATTGTTTTAGGTTAAGTGAACAAAAAGTTACTTCTATATATCATGCTCAAGTCAATTTTTTGTACACAAAAGCTTAATTGAAAATAAAAATTTAATTATTAAACCATGTGATAAAAAAATATTTATAAGTCGGGATTAATTTAATGTTGTGATCTTAAGAGCTAACCAATATTGTAATTAATAAGGTCGGGTTAAATTAAAGTCCTAAATGTACATAACCTTCCACACACTACAAGTACTAGTAATAAATTTGAGACTAAAGCTTTTAGGGCTTAGGCATTTAATTTAATTTTGAGAAATTAAGAATTTTATTCTCTAATTATTAATTAATGAACACATACTAACCATGGAACTGGTTGACTAGCGAGAGAAATCTAAATGAAGTAATATCATTATGCAATTGGGGTCGCCTGTGTTACTAAAATAATATTTTTTATTTTTTAGAAATTATTTCGATATTAATATGTTAACATAATTTTAAATATAAAAAATTAATTTTAAATAAAAATAAAATAAAATATTTTAAAAACACGAGTTTAAGCATTCCAAACAAAACTTCTATATGTAAACATCCCAGCATAGTTCACTAAATTAAAGAGGAAGAAGAAAGAGGCATACCCCAATATCTGTAAAGTGGGTAGAGGTTCAGAATGCTTATATCCATCTGCCTTGCTAGGGTCTCCTACACCTTGAATAGCTGGGAGACGCGGAACAACTTCCTCTAGCTGAAATTTCAAAAACCATCAGCAAACTTAACCAGCTTAATCCCCTCCTTGTATGAAGAAAATAAACAGCTTCCATGCATTACCATCATACACAATTTGGATTCCATTTCATGTGATATGTATATATGTGCAAGGTGGAGAAAGAAGAATACCTTAGTCTTGAGCTGTTTGTTTTCCTCTTCAAGCTCTTGTTCCTGCATGATAAGAAAGATGATCAAGTTTTTTTAACAATGATTCTGTTTTCAGTCCACCACAGCTTAAGCAAGTACTCTTTAACCACCATGTCAATTGCATTAAACATTCTCTTCGATTTGATCGTGATATTAATTTCCCCAGAGAAAGTTTGCAAAGGCTATTAAGGCTGTCATAGATGTAGCAGTTGATGGAAGCAAAGTTTGTGTGTTTGGGGGGGGGCGGGCGCTGGGGTGGGGTGGGTGTGGGTGTGGGGCAATGCAATCTTACCTTTTGGCGTAACTCTTCCATTCTATCAAACATCAGTTGTGTCTGCATTGATGAAGAGAAATTAAGCATTATTATGGTCGTCTTTATCAATTTTACCATTTGAAAGATGATCTTTATTAAATATTATATAGAATAGCTAGCTCCAAAAGGCCAGCAAGGAGATCGAAAGTGAACAATATAGGCCACTCTGCAGCAGAAGACTTAAACACCATCATTAGAAAGGAACACCATACGTAGAAAACAATGCTAACTGCTTTCAAAACCTAAAAAGAAAGAATATGTAACCCTAATTGCCAAAAAACCACCTACAAATTAAGATAAGTAGAAAACACTACACAACGGCCAATTCACTGAAACAAGGCAGCCACAAGTAACATTAAGAAAATCTATTGAAGGTAAATAGATAAAAATATAAAATAAATCTATTTTTAAGGCAGTTCTAAAATGAAATTTTGTCCTTTTAAATTAAGATACATAAGAGGATTCATTTTTGTCTCAAGATAATATTCAAACGACTACATAATAATTCTAACATTTCAATAGCAACTATATATATCATCAACCTGAAGAGTATTTTGGTACAAAATACTAGCAAGTAGATAGCATGGAAGAACTTTGCAATGGTCCATGGAAAGTGAGTCCAGCCCCTGAGACTTGAGATAAAAGCTGAAGAGATTTTAAACAGGGGCGAACAATTCAAGTAAAAATTGTATCATTTTTTAGCCAATAAATTCACACATTTCACACTAGTTTTTATAATTGGTAATAAGAAATTATATAAATCTTTGAGTTTAACCATAATGCATGTGTAAATGCATGTACCTTCCTTTGCCTAGCTTGTGAAAGAGTTTTGTCTAGCTGTTTCTCAATCTTCTCCAACTCTTTAAATGCTAGTGGTTCAAGATCTTCTCCAAGAAAATTCCTGAAGAAGAAACATATATAATTCTCTAATTTATTAGCATGTTTTAAAAATAGAATGGTACAAGCTATTTAATATGTGATTTTCTGTGATTGAATATTGTTTTTTTTCTTTTAAAAAAAAAAAAGTGTATATACATATTTTTACAATGTGCTTTTGTACATAAAAAAATCTCAAATGGAATTAAAAAAGGTAATGCATATATTTAATTAAATAAATTAAGATCCATTTATACAAGAAAAAAAATATATGAAGCCTAATCCCTATCCAACCAAAGTTAATCAGTCACAACTGTAACCCGGGTCATAAATTCAATTGGGTTAAATATTTTTTTTATAATATTTTTTATTTAAAATAGACATCTGTAAAACTAAGTGCTAATAAAATATTAAAGTCATTGAAAAATAAAATAAAATTATAAAAAATTATATTGTCCAATTAATAATCAATCAAATATTAAATGATAATATTTAAAAAAATAAGCAAGAAAACAAAAATAATACAATTTTAATGAATAATAAAAAAAGACTTAGTCTCTAAGGCTAGAAAGGACCAAAGCTATAATTAGGCCTCCATAAAGAGGCTTAGGCTCTCGAGCCTAGAGTAGCCCATTCACATGCGTCTTAATTGTTTAAAAAACAATTCTTGAAATGCAGACGAAAGGTTGTCTACCCCTTAATGCTTTGAAAAAATTGTCTACATTACCTATATTTTGCAAACTTTGATAGTTGGAAATCGGACTAATCTATTTAAGACTAAGAAAAACTCATTTTAAACCATATTTCAACCTAGAAAAAAAAACTTTAAACACCTTACAAAACATATTTATAGCCCCTAACAACCCAAAAATTAGCTTTAAAATCCACAATTAACCCGAAACTTAAAAACAATTCAAATTTATCATTTCATGCAAGTTTAAAGGAAAAAAAAACACTTTGTATAAAATTTTGTTATCAAAAGAAACTCATTGACATCAAAATCACCTATTTTTATTGTCAAAATCTAGACACTTTCTCTCTTCTCTTTCAAATTAAGGACCAAAAATAAGGGTAAAAAAACACTTTGTATAAAATTTTATTATCAAAAGAAACTCATTGATATCAAAATCACCTATTTTTATTGTTAAAATCTAGACATTTTCTCTCTCCTCTTTCAAATTAAGGACCAAAAATAAGGTAGATAAAACTTGTAATCAAAATTGAATTTCATAACTTGTTAGGGACTGAAAGTTTATAATTTGAGATGTTGAAGGATCAAAGTGTATTTTTAGCCTCATGTTTAGAAAAATCATCTATTTTGCTTCTTTTTTTCATTATAATGCCCTATCTTTGAATCTTTCATTTCCTTAGTAAATATGCTTAATTGGCCATCAATTTGGGTCTATAAAGGCCTAGTGAAAGAAAAAAGAAAAAAAAGTAGAGGGACTAAAGAAATCTTGGTAATTCATAATAATTTGTTTCTTTGTGAACATTAGCATGAGAAACAATATTTTTTCCATATATTTTAGAGTATTTTTAATTTTATTATTTATATGAAATAAATATAATTTGAATTCAAGACCTTACTCTCTCTATTCCTTTTACATCCGGTACTAAGGTATAGAAAAGGGTCTCAAATCCAATCAAACCTCACTTAGTGAAGAAATATTTACTTCTCTTCTCCCTCTAGAAATGAGATCATATCTACCATTAAGTATTTTTAGTCGTATTTTAAAATATTTATTTTTATTTTATTTTATTTAAAAAAATAAAGAGATTAAAAAATGAGATCACCTTTGGGAGCGTTGAAGAGTCTCACATTTTGCTCTTAACCTGGAGATCTCTTGGTATAAGTTCTGGAATTGATCAACAAAAAAAACCAATTAGTGCATTTAAAAAGATATTGTAACCAAAAAAAGGAATTAAGCTTATGAATAGAAAATAAAAATTGTCAAATTAGTTTAAGGATTAAAATAAGATGAATAAAACAAACATGTGACCCTTCCTCAGGAATGTTGGTCTCTTGTGTGTTGTAGCAACATTGTCGATATCGCTGAAGGATATTACTCATACTGATTAAGAAGAAACAAATAATAAATCAATATTAAATTAATTTATAAAAATAAATGGAAGCAACAAAATTTTTAAAAAAAAAGTATAAAGAGAAAAATCATTCAAATCCTCTTTCCTTTTATTTTTCTTCTCTAAGGTTACACCACCTCCTTTGTTCTAATTAAATTTTACACTAAAGGGTTTTGTTTCATGTTTAATTAAATAAAGAGGCATTAATTTCTTTTTCCTTAGCATGTAGGAACTTTAATTAATTTTTTTGATAGAAAAAAAAGCAATAATTACATCCAACTATTTAACAAACACAAGCATCACTCGTAAACACTAGGGCATGTATAAGATTTTTTTATATTTTGAATAATAACTAAAAAAGGTTTTGTTGTTTCTGATTATCTATATATAATTATGATACGAGTTGCTTTATTAAAATAAATAATTTAGAAAGAATTATATTGGAATAAATTTTTTACATTTGTCTTCTTTTTACTTTTGAAATATGACACGAAATCATTAAAATATCTATTTTATTATAATTAAAAAATTATTATTCAGATATTATTTATAGAATGAATTACTTCACACGAATTAAATAGAATTTAGAAATTTCAATATAAATAGTTTTATTTAAAATAGTTAAATTAAAATCCTTTAAAAATAATCTATAAAAAAATTGATAGAGTTTTATTTCTCAACTCAATTAGTAGTGTCCCTAGAGTTCACTTCTACCCCATACTACTATACTACTACAAGTGAAAAGAAAAATGTAAAGACTACTATCGAAGGAGCCTAAGTGAGATTTAATATATACATATGAATTATGTTTTTTATTTGAAGGAATTTTGTTAGTATTTTTTTTTCCATTATTTTTCACTAATAATAGTCACTAATAATGATATTTGTCATCAATATTAATATTATTATTGGTGGTGCAGAGTAAAAAAAAAAAATTTATCCAATATCATTAATGAAACAATCTAAAAAATTATTTTGTCTAATATCATTAATGAAACAATCTAAAAAATCCAATTCAATGAATTAGAACCAATTAAACATAAGAAATGTTTATATGATTTTTGATAGAATCAGGAAAGATTAAGCACAAACAAAATAAGTAGAGGTATTATTTGAAAATCACAAGTTTTTTTCCTTCACTGCTTTTATTGGGGACAAATTCAACAAGTCATATAAGCAAAACAAAATAAGGTATTTCAAGTTTTTTTGTTGATTTGAGATAGAAAAAGAGAAATGTAGTTCCTTCCCTTACCACTCAGTCATGCCACCAAATTAATATGAAATAGATAAAAATACCTTTCAAATTTTTTTTTTTTTACATACTTATATCTTGAATCTAAATTTTTTTTTACATACTTATATCTTGAATCTCATTTTTCTTCATTTGAATTTCTCTTCTAAAAAACATCCTTCCTTTTTTATATATAGTGATTAATATGATTATGAACACCAAAAAGGAAAAAAGGTTGTGAAAAATCCTTTCATGTCCTATGTTTTCCCCTTTTTTGTACTTCAATAAATATTTATGTTTTATTAAAAACAAAATAAAGTAAGTTTTTATGTTATGTAGTAACAGGAATGATTTCATCTTGCTTATACAATAATCTATTATATTAGATATTGTTTGATTATTACATCGAAATATAAGATACAAAGATAATTGAGGGGACATGTTTTCTTGAACCTTATTTTTTTTAATAAAAAATCATTCTAAAATTATCATAAAGATAAGACATAAATTTATTTTACATCTTTATTTTTATCCAATTATATTTTTGTCTCTTAATTCTATATTTGTCATTTCTTTTCCAAGACACTAACCAAACAAAACTTAAATACTAATATAAAAAAAAGTGCTAAATTAGTTTACTTGTAACGTTATTATTTCAAGTTCAAATCTAATAAAAAATAGGAAAAACATATTGTGAAAATATTAATTTAAACATGCGTAACATGAATAAGAGTAAATTAGAAAGAGATTTGGTCAAAAGTTGACCAAAAAAAAATGGATGTGCTTAATTACATTAGAAAAAAATTATGATTATTCCTAAACTTAATAATTTGAGCAACATTGACAACAGATAGGCTAAATAGATTGAGTTTCTACCCAAAACAAATGATATTAAATTGAGTTTCTCTTAAGTTACCTTCCACTTGAGTACTGGGATAATTAAGCTAATTTAATCTAAGCCCATGTTGTTCAATTTTTTTTTTAAAAAAAATAAGCATGATACATTTAGAAATAAAAAAAAAAAATAAGCATGATACATTTAGAAAATAAATTTTTTAAAATTTTTTATTTTCAAGCAATTAACTTTATTTATGTACATTTAGGAATTTATGTAACTTTAAATTAAATTATATTAATTGGGTGTAAAGGTATTTGTTTCAAATGTCATTAAGTAATATTTGAAACAAATGTAAAGATATATCACAATTACCACTCAAATTAAGACAAATTCCACTAAAAATATATAACAAAGAAACTTATAAAATGTCATTATAATGTATATCTATTATAACATTTGGTTTAGAAAGTTGTTTTTTAAATAAACACCATTAAAAGTTGATTTTATTATAATGGTTGATTTAAACATAACTGTTTTCTCATAATCAATTTTTACTTAAAAAAAACCGATATATATATCTAGGAATAATAGTTCCAAAAAAGTTTGAACATAAATTAATGATACATGCATGAATAAAAAGTTTAAACGTAGTTTTTCATAAATCATTCATTTTCTAAAATTAATAACATCAGTACAAAAGAGTGAAAAATAACGTAAGACCAAAATAAAAAAATGATTTATACGAAATTAACTAACGATTAAATTTAAAAACTTGATGAATTATAATTTAATTTAAATATTTTTGGATTTTACACTTTATATTTGTATCAAGTTATTTTTAAACATTTTTAAAGTCTTGATAATCAAAATAAAATACCAATATAATACTACATAGTTTAGAAGTGATTTAATAAGCTTCCTTTTTCTTTTTCTTTTTGTATTTAGGTTTTTATGAGCTATACAGTTGAGAAAATAGGGGACTAACATTTGTCTTAGGATTCATTCTAAAAGAGCCTAACTTTTATTATTTTAAAATTTACCAATATTAATATTTTTCTCAATCAGAGGTGAGGTTGAATTTACTTATTAGTATTGATAATTTATTATAATGTTATTATTATTTTAAATGAAAAATAGTCGATTAAGATTTTTAAAGAGTTGATAATTTTATGTATAATTATGAATTTAGTAATTGATATATACACAACACACTTATTCATTCTTCACAGGCTCCTAGCTAGTAATGGAGTTGGGTATGTTCCATTGGGAATTTGAAGGGCAAACAACAAAAGCTTTTGTCATGTTACTCTCATGTGCATCATCACTAGAAGTCAACAGAGGAGAAACAATGCTCCAAATTTAAAAGCACTGTTCAGATCATAAAGCAATCACATCAGAATGCAGAGGCAGAGTAGAAAAAGGAAGGAAGAACTATTCAGACACATTACACAATCACATCAAATGCATGCCCAGAACCTGCAGGATGGTGGTGATACTGTTCATGGCCAGAAGATCTCATTTCCTACCCACAGCATATATAATACTAAGAGAAAGATACCATTAATGCTGTCAGGAAAGTATATCGCACAAAAGCCATCTTGGTTCACCTCAGCCAGGTTTTGGCGCGTCATTACCTTGATTCTTGAGAAAGATCAAGAACAATATAGACGAGGAAAGATGCCATGATTTGACTCTTCAATAAACTACTAGTCTTGAATCTGGCTGGCCACTTGTCCAAGCAGAGACAAAAGAGAGACAAAAAACCCTAGACACCACCCCCCCCCCCCCCCACCCCCC